TCAAGGCTTGTTTTCTTGGCAGGAATATTCATAGAAAAGTTGGACGTAAACCGGTAGGCCAATGTCCTGAAATTATTGATGCATCCGGCTGGGAGGTTGCCAAACCAACGTTGAGCAATCCCTTTCAACGTTGCCGGGAAGCACCTACACCATGAGGCATCATCCAAACGCTGCAAATACATCAGGTTGGTGTATGCCATGAGGTGATCTTCCGGGTTGGTGGTACCGTCATAGGAACCCCCCAACACGTTTTTAATTTTTGACGGCTGGGCCATCTCGGTGATTTCCCTAGAAAACGCCGTTGGTTGTTCCCTAAGGTTGAGCAGCCGGAGCTGCCAGTCCATAGGCTGGACAGGCGGCTGCTGCTGCCCCCCGAAAAGACACGGCTGTGAATATGAAGATCCAAAAGGCGTGTATGGTGTCCCATGCAATGCCGGTTGGATGATATGAGGGCCGGATCGAGCGGAAACCTCGCTCGTCCGGCTGTCATTGTTTGTTCTCGAGTGCCTCCCTGATGTGACATTGAAGCTGTCTCGAAAGGTCGATGTTGATGCCGACTCGGAGCACTGCTGAGTCTTTTTATCCTGAATGAGCGTCCGGGCATCAGAATAGACTTTCTTTGTTCCATCCGGTTGTATCTGCCGGACGGGTTTTCTGGCTCCATCCTTGGGAGTGTGAATCTTAGAGAAATCAATAGGCCTAGCCGGCACCTTTGACTTCGGGTGTGGGGTAGATGCTCTACCCTTCACTGTCTGGGCCGTCTTTTTCCCAAGACGCCTTTCTTCCACCTGACCCTTACGGGGGTCAGCTGTGTTATCCAGAAGTCCTTTGATTTCCCCTTTGAAACTCATCATCATGCTTATGAGTTCATCCCTGGAGACTGGGGTGGCTCCTTCTGAAGCAGGAGTTAATCCAAGCCGTCCCCTGACGGGATGGTTTGGGCCTGGCTGCTGCTCTGCCCGTTCCCTTTTGTCTTTGGAACGAGTATGCTTGGTTCTAAAAGAACCATCGGCGGCGGTGTAAGTTTCAACCTCATAGTTGTCGGCTGTATCTTGGTCCGAGTGGACCTCAGCCTCACCAGCAGGTTGACTACCTTTACCCGGCAGTACAGGTTCTGAAGTCATCTAGAAAGTACTCTCCCCACAGACGGCGCCAGATGTTTGGGGGTTTTTTATGTGTCCTACGGGAGAGTTACAATTTCCTATTATGCTCCTTCCTTTGCCTGTACCTGCATGAGTAACGGAAAACTCCGGCTGGGGCTGGGGTGTTCCCCCTCCGAAGATCAAGTTAGTATCTTTCTTAATGAGGAATTAAGACAATAAATGCTTCTTGATTTGAGAGCGTTTGCAAGGGGATTTGTGTTTTTTTGGTGGTTGGAAAATGATTCGATCCCCATAAATGAGGTCTGCCCTTACTATTTATAGTAGGGGAGAGTTGTACCTCAATTTAGGGTACAATGACACATGTCACAAGGGGAGTGGACCTTTGTTGACCGTTGCAAACTTGACACGTGGCAAGCCTTTATAGGGCCACGTGTCTTAGGGGTATTTTTACCCTAAACAAATGGTGTCCTTCCAACAAGTGTATTCTTTCGACAGAGGGTTCAAAATTATTACAGAGTTAATTCTTCATTAAGATCAAGTGATCGGAATGCCTAGGTGGAGGTCGCTTCCGGTCAGTAATATCGAGGTACAATTGATATTACAGCTTAATCTTAACTGAACCCTTCGGGTCGAACCCAATCGAATCACCGATCCGAGACGACGAATTAATCCGAAATGATTTAATGAGTCGACAGAGTTTTACGAATACAGACGTCCGATATCGAGCCTAGGACGTCGGAAGGCTAGTGCGCGTGTGCGTGTGCTTGTGCCCTATCCCATCGCATCAACACAACAAGCATGGCTGCGCACATGCGTGCCTTCGCATGGCACTACATCGCAGCATGCGTGCCTGGGTGCTAGGCACCATGGTAGGCCCTATGTGCTTGTGCGTGTGCGAAGAAGGCATAGCAGCAGCAGCATGCGAGTGGTGCGAGGCTGATGCGAGGACATTGCGTGATGCGTGGTGCGATGTGTGGTGCATGGTGCAAGGCTAGTGCGCATGATGCGAGGCAACGGGGGCCAGCATGCGTGGCTCGCTAGCAGCACGCATGCTGGCCATGCTAGCAATGGTGCGAGAGATGCTGCGAGAGATGCGAGGCATAGCACCAGCGCCAGCACGCACCAGCGCTAACACGCAGCACCAGCACAGCCCAGCACCAGCACGCACTGGTTGGCTGGGGTGCTGGGCAGCAAGGCAGTGCTAGCTGGTAACCCTAGCTGGCACGCTAGCTGGCAGCCAGCTAGCCTTCCTTGACCCGGTTTTGTGCATGGAAGTGGGGACCAAATTAAGGCCTTGGGGAGCAAGGCATATGGTCCCCCACCTAACCTTGGCCACCACTCTTTTGCATGTGATCATGCCACTTGTCGCAATGTGATTAACTTGATTATTTATTTAATTTGAAAATTAAATAAATCATTGATATTTAATACTCCCACATTGGTGGAGAATGAACAATCAAGGGTTCATTTCCCTATAAATACCAAGCTTGGGTATTTGGGAAGGAACAACCTTGAGTGGAATTAATAAGGCAACTCTAATTAAGAGTAAACCTTTGATTTGTAAAACTCATAGTTTTGTTTTGCCCGGGTCTTGACTAACCTTCAAGACTTAGGACGATCGGGTCGGGTCGAGGGTACGATCCGTCGGAGATCTCGTGGTTTCGGGATTTTGAAGTAAGAGCTCTTCGGGAGCGAAGCACACAACAAAGGTATAATTCTTGTTCTTAGTCTTGTTTGATTAAGTTTATTATGCTCGTTAATTTCTTTAATTAAGGGGCGGGTCTTGGGGGGGTTTCCTTCCGCGTAGTGTCGGGTCACTACGAAACCCTACGGGATGTTCATAGAGAAGTTTGACGCGAACAAGTGTGCTAGCGTCTTGAAGTTATTGATGCAACCGGCTGGTAGATTGCCAAACCATCGTTGGGCAATGCCCTTCAATGTCACCGGGAAGCATCGGCACTAGGCAGCGTCATCCAACCCCTGTAAGTACATGAAGTTGGTGTAAGCCATTAGGTGGTCTTCCGGGTTGGTGGTATTGTCATAGGTACCGACCAACACATTCTTGACCTTGGCCGGCTGAGCCACCTCGGTTATCTCCCTAGAGAACGCCGACGGCTGTTCCCCAAGGTTTAGCAGCCGAAGCTGCCAGTCCATAGGCTGGACATTCAGTGTCGCATGACCCCTGAAGAGGGCCGGCTGCATGTATGGTAATCTATATGGCATGTATGGTTGTTGGGGCACATACGGAGCCGGATGGATAATCTGAGTGCCAGTACGTGCGGACAAGCCGCGTAACTGACTCTCTCGGTTTGTTTCCGAATACTTCATTGAAGTATTCTAGAAACTGGCTGGGTAATTCGACGTTGAAGCCGACTCAGACAACTGTTGACTTCTCTTCTGCTGGATTAACATTCGGGCATCTGAGTAAGTCCTTTTTTATCCATCCGGCTGAACTTGCCGGATGGCCTTCCTTTTCCCTGCTTCAGGGAAACGGAGTTTTGATAGGTCGATCACGGGCCCATCCGTCCCCTTTGGTTTAGGGTGAGGAGTAGGCACACGATCCTTCACATGCTTCTTCCCTAAGGGAGAAGGCTTCTTGGATGACTGACCCTTGTTGGTGCCAGCCGACTTGTTTATTAGGTCCTTGATTTCCCCTTTGAGACTCGTCATGAATTTCATGAGTTCGTCTCTAGTAACAGGGGCAGCACCCTCCGCCGCCTGGGGTTGCCCAGTCGGCTTGACGGTTGGGTTGCTTGGACCTGCTTTGTCTTTGCCCCGTTGCCTTGTATCCTTGGAACAAGTGCGTCTTGTTCTGAATGACCCGTCTGGGGCCACATAGGTGTCAACCTCAAGGTCGTCACTACTATCTTGGTCCGTGTGGACGTCATCTTCGGTCGTAGGCCGTTTGCCTTTAGCTGGCAGTACAAACTCTGATGCCATCTCAGAAGTACTCTCCCCACAGACGGCGCCAAATGTTTCGGGGTTTTTGGAGTCCCTCGGGAGAGTAACAATTCCAAGAATGCGCGTCGACCATCTGTACCTGCAAAACCATGGAAATTGGTTGGGTGGAGTTTTGCCTCCGACGATCAAGTTAGAACGTGTCCGGATGTATAAAAGTGCGGAATGTAAAGGTTATTCTCTCAGATTCCGAGAGAATTCTGCAATTAATATTGCTCGGGTTTTTTGTGTTTATTTATGAATATGCAATAAATGAGGATTTTCCTCTATTTATAGTGTAAGGGGATTAGTTCCCCTTTCATGAGTTGGAGTGTCATGTGTCACCAGAGGGTTGGTTCTCTCTGAACATCTCTGATGCTAACACTTGTTAGCACGCGATTGGCCCACGTGGACAGGGGTATTTTTACCCTAAACAGAAGGTACCGGAATTTGTTGTGTGAAGGCGACAGAGACTGAAATCGAGAATAGGGGAGGGGGGACCGAAATCGATGGAAATAGGGTGGCCGACTTTCGTGGAAGGGGTTAAAATCCAGGACGGGGAGGGGGAGGTGGGTCTAAATCGAGGACAGGGAAGGGAGGGTGGGTCGAAATCGTGGACAAGGAGTGGGGCCTAGTGGTTTTCGGTGAGGATGGTGGGGCTAGAAGGGGGGTTGAGAAGAAGGTTCTTTTTTTTTTATGTCACATGCGACATGTATAATTTTTGTTATAAATATAACCTATTCATCAAGAGCCTACAAGAAGAAAACACATATCAAAGTTCGGATTATTAGATAATAATCGAAAGTTGAAATTATTCAAAGAAAATCTCTCAAAGCTGAGATCATTAAAGTGAATTTTTCTTACTTTCTTCTCCTTTCTCTCTCTCTCTCTCTCTCTTTTTTTTTTTTTTGTTTGCGGAGGTGGGGTGGGGTATTGTTGAACTATGCTACAAGCTACAACTGCCTCGAAAGCAAAAAAAATATATTGGTGAGATCTGGCATCGGCATAATGCCTTGAGACTGCCAGATCTTGCAATGTGATAACTTTCTATTCAACTAAAATCTTTCATGAAGTCCCCAGATTTCTGTGAATTACACTATATTCAGAAGTAACAAAAAAGTATCGCTGTATTTAAAAAAAAAAAAAAAAAATTCAACGGCTCTGAAGTCCTTCAATGGCTTTCTTCCATTGCCACGCTCTCTGCTTGGGATCTTCAAATGACATAACCTTCTTGGGCTGAAAAAAAAAAAATAAAAAAAAAAATAATTACAAATATGTATGTGAATGACAGTGTAAAAGAACAATGCAGTTGATTAAATATAAAAATGGGGAAGAGTACTACATAATAGGGCTTAAGGACTTCAAATAACATGAATCAGATCTATCCTTTGAAGAACAAACTTATTCATGTACATTGCACATCGCCAATTTTGATAAAGAAACACTCACAGTGCATATCTTAAAGTGAGAAGGACTAGAGACTTGGACATTTAGATCATTCTGATTATCAGACCAAATTATGTTCCCCTTCACTACCAGTTTTGACGGGTCCACGTAGATCAACTTTGGTTTGTTGGTAAGAATAAGCTGCACCTTCTTGCTAGACAACTTCTGCATTTTCTTCACCATAGAGATCATGAGAACAGATTCACCAAGTTCCAAGAATTGTTGCCTGTCAATACAGCATGGCAACTTTAGCAAGCTACAGATACTAGAAACAAGATAGCAAGGACTCAGAAAAAATCAAACCAGAGTCCACAAGTAAAAGAAAAGGAACAATTGTGTGCACAAAAGAGTTCCCACCATTTTGAATCGAAAGAGTCAATTGATGCAAGCCTTGTTACGTGACCCGCTCCTTCGGTAAATGATGAGGTACCACTATTCACATCAATTTGCTTTACAGCACTATCTCCAATATGTGTGCAATTCCAAGGATCTTGTGAATTGTCGGCACCACCATAATTACCCTACATGGTGCAAAGAGAAATCATCAAGTAAGGAAACTCTGCCAGAACATCAATAGCCAAAAAGATTGGAAACTGAATGGTGATGAGGAATGTTACCATAGGTTCCCTGACAAGTTTTGGAGAGGGAATGTCTCTCAAGTTAGCCCAGTCAACTCCACGGAAAAAAGGATGATTTTTTAATGCAGCATATCCCTCAGGTCCAGCACCAGGTCTTTTGCTAGGATCTATGGACTGCAAATTAACACCATCAAGAATATATATAGAGATCCATACATCATACAGTAGCTATGAGCAGTTTGCATATTAATCCCTCTGCCCCTTTCCATTCCCAACTTGGAATTATTTTAGAGCATAACTTAAGCCACTTTCATTCTTACTATTCATTTCTTCAAAAAACAATCCTCTTAACTGTCTCACAAGTCAGGGTGCTTAGTCAAAGTGGAACAAGCAACATTAAAATAAAAATTAGAAAATCATTGATTTTTAATGCCAGACATAATAGACTATAACGAACACAATTATTTGTCCCATAACAAACAAATATTGCTGATAGCTTCCTCCCATTTGCATAGCCAGAGGCTATAGCTCTAAAAGGAAGAGATAAAAAGTTTGTATGGAATAATATATTAAACGAATATACTCCCTGCATTCCTGATGCAAGAGCATCCATAAAGCCCAAGAATTGAATAAGGCTGTTTGACCTGGCTTTAAAATAGTTTATTTTACCCAGAACACCTAATTGGATGACTCCTATTACATGACATGGCTTAGGTGAATAAAGATGATCCTTGTGTCTAGAGATTCATTTGATGTTTGGACATGGAATAGAAAGGAAAACAAAATGTATGTGCTTCTTAGTGAATGGGACAACTTAGGACTGCAATATCTTCTTTATTACAAAACATTTTAAGGTGATTCTACCTGGTGATGAAAGTTAAGATCAAGAGCTTTCCATAAATAGGTCATTAGCCTATTTTGAGCAACAGATGAAGAAGTTTTGAAGATTTCGAGTTGAACAGCTGAAACTGCAAGTTGTGCGACCAATCTTGCAGATTTGCTGGCTTGTGCAAAATGAGCAAAATGCCATTTCACATATTGTAAACCACTTGTGCAAAACTTGCACGTTCATGCAACATGGGGACAGATTCAATGATACAGGAGCACAACTTCCATGAACACTTGTGCTATGCAACTTAACAGATACATATCTCTACTGTTTTAAAATGAAATAATCTTAGTCTTTCATTTTGTAATCTAAGGGTGCATAAAAGAAGATTCTTAGGGAACCCTAGAGTAGTAGTAGTCACCCATATATATAGGGAAAACTGGAAAAGAAAGCTTGTATGTAACCTTCAGATTATTTATGAAATGATGAGATTTTCTCTCTCCTACTGCGTCTACATTCACCATTTCGTTGTGGGAAACAACTTTACTTATGTAATTAACTAATTTTTAATCTAAATTTTTGAGAGATTAGTAAAGATAACCTTGTACTCTTCAAACTTGATGATTGTGGAGACAAGTGCTACACTTTTTTATTTATTAACACTTTGTTTGAATAACAAAGAAGGAAGGAAAAGAAAAGGAGGGAAAGAGGAAGGGAAAGGTAAGCCCCATTGTCCTTCCAAATCTCTCCAATTTTGGAGGGATTAATCTTATAGAGAGAGAGGGAAAATGGATCCCTCCCTCTCCTTCCCCTTCCTTCCCCCAATCTTTCACCCAAACAATAGAAAAATTACTCCTCCCTTTCTCTTCACGTCTTTTCCTTCCATCTCCGTCTTTCCAAACAAAGTGTAATTCATTGGTTTTCTTTAAAACCAAAAATCTGGAAAATAGTACATTGGAAGGTGGAAAATTGTATGAAATTTGAAGTCTTGGTGATTATCTCACAGCAAATCATAAACGCATTACGTAGTAATTTATATATGGCAACTTATTACAATTTTTAATGTCTCTCACTAAGATATAAATTGCACCATTTTTTTCACACTTGCCAATGCAATACTTTGGTCGTTATCTTTAACTACACTTTAGTAACAATTATAAAAACTTGATATTAGAAAAGTAGATATCGAGACGAATCTAATTAGAACCCAAACTAATAGTCGGTCAAAGGAGATTGTGTGAATAGTACAAAAGTAACTAAACCTAGTACCCACACTCTCTCTCCCCCCCTAATTTTCTCTCTTTACCCTTATACCCTAACCTTAGCGGCGACCGGACGACTGCCTACACCAGCTAGCATTCCTAACGGTGACTCTTCTCTCGACCACGACAATCGTACTTAGCTAGTAGCAAGAGGTTGATGTTGTTTCCGCCCCGTCGGTTTGCCGTTGATGGGGAGCGACTCCATTTTCCTACTTGATAGTTATGAACTTATTAAAGGATTAGCCTAATTATAAAGCTCTACTTATATTCTAATATTTACTTGTATAGGTATAATTTTGCTAAGCAATTATTGATTTTATGATTTGCATTAAAAATTGTCTATGAATTAATGTTCATTTCTACTTTGAATTGTACCATTTCGAGGTACATTAGTTGTACCATACACTCATTACTTTGAATTTTATAATTTATGAATATAAATTATTTGTTTAATTATTGAAATCTATACTATAGTAACAAAGGTAGCATGAAGATAAAACCTCTCACACAAGAAAAAAAAATTGATGACAAACCTCCCTTGCCCTTTTTGAAAAAAAATAAAAAAATAGTTTAAACAACAAAAAAGGTTTAGACAAAATAGAGAGCATAACTAACAAAAAGAAGCAGGGGCCATATGTTCTATAAAAAGAGAGAATGGATGATTCATTCCATACGGATTGGCATAATAGTCCAAATAATGCATTGGTAGAACTTTTGACATACAGAGAGAAGTTAGCTTCCTTGTTTCACATCATTCTATCCTTATCCAAGCAATTTGTCATTCCCTCAACGTTTCACAGAGGTAAAATGTACGAGTAGTGGCTAACATCATCATGAAAGAGCAATATTTCAGTGACTGATGTTGATCTAGCATAAATTAGTATTATCATAGAAAAAAAAATGGCTGCTTTATGCTTTCCTTGGTTTTCATGCTACTGCAAGCTTTATGTGGCTGACGAATTGTATAGGTTTCTCTGTGATACAAAATGGATTTTGGGGTATCTATGAGTTATGTATGATTAGATTGATTGCAGAAGCCCGTTGTAGTTTAAACTAGCTCAGAGTTGGTCCCAGCCGATCAAGGAGATATAGGTTTTGTCAGAGAAGATGATAAATTGAAAAGTGGAAGCAGCTCTATGAACTGAAGCAGAATACGCATATAATATGCAAAATGTATCTATGAACTGAATCTACAGAAATATATCTGTTTGATCTGCAAGTGGACAAGTTATAAAATATATCATAAGTCACAAATGAAACGGATAAAATAGAGGTTATCCTATTTAATTGACACATGCATGTATTCTTCTTCTTTCAGTTTATTATGGGAATATGATTTAAGTAGTCTTTAACTCTTAACAAAAGGATAAAAAAAATAATACAATAAAAAAAATAAAAATAAATAAAAAAAAGGTAAATAGAAAATTCACAAGGGGGTTTCAGATGGCTGTCAGTTAATTACAAGAAATGAACTAAAATTCAGAAAAATTTTAGGTCGAAAAGGAGAAAGAATTGAGAGGTTGAGTTTCCAGATTAAGGAGAGAGGAGAAAGCAGAGAAAGAGAAAAGAAAAAAAAGATTGAAGAAAGAGAATGAAAGAAGAACCAATTGAATAGAGAGAAAGAGCAAACTGACCTGGAACACCATCAGCAATGACCGTTGGTGATTGCTGGGCAGCAATCTCTGTCATAGCCTGCAACCACTAATTTCCAAATTGCTTCACCAACCCCAGATAGGTCTACTATGAATAGGGCTTTTGATTGGGGTTAAATTGAAATAAATTCCTACAATTTATCGAGAGTCATTGCTCAAATTTGCATCCTGAAGAATGAATAAGGTTAATGTGAAACCTTTATTGATTATTTTTTTTTACTTTGTGACTCAGATCTCCTCTTCTCTCACCTCAAAACATAAGGCATCCCAGGCACTGCGCCTTGTGCCCTGGTAAAGGAGAATTGAAGCGCACGCCTTTTGTATGAGGTTGCACGTAACAGTGCGGAGTGCTCCTAGGTGAGCCCTGTGCCTAGGCACGTCTAGGGTCACTTTGTAAAAACAAGCTCAAATACACCATGACAAACACCCAAGTATTGAGTCTATGAAATAATTCATGGACACAAGAATCATGGTGTTTACTTCTTTGTACTAGCTCACGTGATGTGAGTACATTTATCTAGTGATATCATATTCACCATGGTACAAATGTACAATATCCATTAGCTTGAAAAGGAAAGGTGTATTACTTTGGTATTATTGACTTACTAGGTGCTAGTTATAGTCACGAAATTTATTACACCCAATATTAAGTTTCCACAGCAGGTGCAACAGGAGCCATGCCCTCACATTCACAAAATACCCTCTCATTTGAGTGGGAAAAGTTTTACCCAACAGTGGAGAAGCTCCAGGACACATAGGGACATAAACCAAGCTTTTACTAATGAAGCAGCTCAGAACCTTGAGCGGAAGCTCATATTTAAAAAATGAGATCATATGCTAGATGCTACTTGTAAGGCAATGAGAAAATTAAAATTGAGATCCCTTCCCAAGATTTGATCTAGGCTAAGGAATTTTTGCTCAGTCTCTATAGTGATACCTAATCAGCTCAGACCAAACTATAACTTAAAAGTATCTAGGAACATAATTTAGATCCACATGCAAAAACAAACTAATTGATAACGGTCTTACCAATAAACGATCAATGAGGTCCTTTGCCTCCTCTGAAAAATAATCTGGAAGCTTAAGGTCTCTTGCGATAATTTTTTGGAAAATCAACCACTCACTTGCATCTTTGAATGGAGATGTCCCTGAAAGCATCTGATACAAGGTGCAACCAAGCGCCCAAAGATCGTTTCTGTTTCAGGAAAGGAACAAACTGCATGAAAATCGATAATAGAAAAGAATCAACAAAGATACAAATTGTTGAAGCATGGGAAAACAATTGATAAATTTGATAGATGGCTCTTTTTACAAGGAAACCAACAGTTGCAAGAAGTTGCTTCTAAGCCCATTTTACAAACTTGCTTTTCCATTGTACATCAACATGTTATCCACATACCCAAATGTTGCAGGTGAAGAATTTAGGACTTCTGGAGGAACATATGCAGCCGTTCCCACAAAAGTGCAAGCTTTGTCATCTGGTTTATTCATAAAAGAACAAAATTTAGTCTATGAGCAAACTCAACTATCCAAAATCTACAGTAGATGTACCTGATGCAGCGTTTGGAAGGACGGTTATGCTGCTATCTTGCATAGGTTTCACACTGCCAAAATCAGCAATCTTGATATGACCATCTGAGGTAAGCAGCAAGTTCTCTGGCTGCAAAATATAAGAACATTAATGAAGTAAACATTACACGGAATTACATCAATAAGCTTGGAAAGCATTGAGAAAATCAGCTAGCCAAGAGTTTACCTTAATGTCACGATGTATCAAACCCAAACCATGTATATACTCCAGTGCGTCCACAACTTCTGCAGCATAAAAGCGAGCTTCATCCTCGGACAAACGACCTTTCTGCATACAGGGATAATAATCACATACGAGAGACATATACAAAGGCAGAGTAAGTCATTGATGGGAAAAAAGCATATTAACATATTTGTACCCAAGTAATTACTTATAACTGTGGCAGATTACAGTTGAAATTAATGTCAGGACGTAGGAAGTAACAAAAGCTTCAGTAAATAAAAACATCAATGGTTCTCTTATAGTCATAATAATGTTAATTTTCAATTATGAAATCATTACAAATTTATTGTAATTTCTACTACTGGAATTGAATTATTATAGTACTCTTGCTGCATTATATGATTAAAGTGACTGTAATCCTTTCTGCTTATATGTTACAAATTAACTATTCTAACTGATTAAGTTCTCAGACTCTAAGATTCGCACAACCAATGAAGTGGCAAGTGTTGGAGAGCATCCCCATTTCAAGCTAACCTAACTCTTACCAAGAAGACTTCACCAAGAAAAACACAAAAAAGAAGAAAAAAAAAAAGAAAAAAGTTTATACCTCTATTAATTTAATGCCTGTCATTAAGTCCATAAAGAATTATCTCTGCAATTTTCTAAATTTATGACACAATTAAAGTGAAGTAATGAGGTAATACAAGTTTAAATTAAGGGGCTGTTTGGCTTCCTTTCTTTTATTTTGAAGCCAAAATATGTACATATAAAAGGTAACTTCCCCCCCCCCCCCCAACCCAACGCCCTCCTCCTAATCAGAAAGCTAGACTCACGAAGTGAAATAAATTGGGGTAAAATTATAGTATTTCTTTGGCAAACATGGAATATAAAAAACTTTATGGAACGATTGAAAAGTAGAATAGGAAGAAATTAATGAAAAAGGTGTAGTGTAACCCATATCACATAAACAATGAGAAAAAAAAAACTTTGATCTGACATTTGGCGAAGATAGATTGTACGGACATTAGTGTTTTTTTGATCAATTTGTAAGTGTATTTGGTTATCTCTAGAAATAAGAGAATTTCTGGCGAAACCCAAGATAGTAATTGAGCAGAATAGCAGATTCATATACTTACCCTGGTTATCTGGTCAAAAAGCTCCCCACCTTCACATGATTCAAGAGCCATATCTTCATCACCAAGAAACAAGTTTAACAAAGATTTGAAAAAAAAAATCAAAAAAAGAGAAAAGGCCACATTACAGAAAGATAATGAATAGACAAAAATACCCTACATAAAGAAAAGGTATCCTGAAAAGTAAAGAACAGTCGCACAATGCCAGGATGATCTAATTGATCAAGAACTATTCTTTCCAACTTCACATAAGAAGTTTTATTTTCCTTAGTGATGAACTTCTTATCCATAATCTTCAAGGCATAGATAACCCCTGTATCTTTCTTCCTTGCCCGCACCACCTGCAAATCCATGCATGAATTAGAAACAGCACACAAATTAGAGAGGAAAAATTCTAATCGAGGAAGCATGTAAGCACAAAAAGACTGCCAAGATGCATCCATACTATAATTTACAAGATAAAAACTTGAAAAATAAAAAATCCCTCTAACAAGTGCAAAATCCTGGATGTCCAACCATATATTCAGTAGGAAAAAAACTCTCTTTTAACTAGCCTGACTCATACTGCATGAGTTGTCCAGGTCCCCACTATGATCCTTTACAAATAATGCATTACACCAAAACCACCAAAGAAAGAAAAACACAACCCACTTACACCATTTCATCCGACAAAAAGAGTAGAAACAGACACAATAGCACTAAGAAGGAAATTAAACCAGTAGTTATCGTCATGAATTTTCAAATTTTGATTTCCTGAAACAAACTTTAAGTCTGTCTTCTAAAATTTGAAAAACGTCTTAATTCAACTTCATCCAAGTCACTTCAAGAATGAAGTTAGAGCTTAAGCCCACATTTTACTATACTTCAACCATAAAACCCATCATCCAATGTCAGGTATACACTGCCCACCAAAATTGATGAAGTATTCTTGTGATTTTGGACAAAAATTCTTCAAGATAATGGAACTTTACAAAGGGTTATTAAGAGTGGAATTCTTTAAGATAGAGAGAGATTTTACAGAGTGGTTGTTAAGAATGTAATTTGAATAAAGGGCAAAACATATCAAAGATTTTTAAGTTTAGTCTTTTGAAAAAACAGCTTTCAGGGGGATTTGGGAGAAGTTAGTATATAATGGGAAGGGTAAGAACATGAACGAGAAGAAGTCTTCATTGAAATGTTAAGTTACTAAGAAAATGTACCTCAATCTCCTCCATCAAAGTGTTCACACAAAGTTTGAAAAAGAAAATTAAGCTTCTCAATCTTCCATTTCACACAAAGTTTGATAAAGAATGATGTTATAACAAATATTAATAAGCTAATTGAACTTAACTTGAAACTTTCATACCTTTTCATTGTAGCTCAAATCAGACTTATGATCTATCAACGGAAAGCTCTAGAACTCAAATTTCATCTCTAAGTGGAATCAACTTGAAATAATTTGTAGCAAAGAAGATATTGTTGTCCAAAGTTGACCATCCATTAACAATTAAGCACATTAACATTGTTTCCACCCTTGCTCTTGTCGAGACACAAAAGTAACCTAGATACACTTAAGCTAGCTCGTAAAATGGGATAATCATCCACATATTGGTGTTGGGAAATAAATAACACCATTCGAAACTAGGTAATTTATCCAAATTCAACCTACAAGCTTCATGGATGCTTCCGCAACAAATACCCTAGAGATCAATAATAAACCATACAACCTCTAAGTTGCACTAGTTCCAATTACAAAGGAAGGTATGCGTCGTGTACCTAAGTTGTGCTGGTGCAACACCTTTTGCATATTAGGTGGGGCAATTTCAACCCGAGGTAGTGTGCTTCAATTCAATGAGACACATTAACATAGCTGCAACATTTTCCTTGTAAAATAATCCAATATTACTTGAAAGTTGGAGCAATTCTCTTACATGAAAGGACCCACTTCTTTTCATTATTTCTCTTACTTGCTTTGGGACCACTTTACTTACTACTTTCCAAATAAAAAGAGCCTCACTCAAACCCCTCAAAAGCAATGGCCTACTTCCCATAAAATATGACAAATAAAGACACCATTATCAACTAAAACACAATCAAATTTGAAGGTCGTTTTGCATAAAATACTGCGCTGAAACTGATGAATGATTCTACTTTGACAAACGTGACTAATCTAGGACGGAAAGAGTATAATATATTGGTTCTACACCTAATAAATGATTGTCATAACAAGTCATGTCCAAATTTAAAGATTTTACTTATTAGGTATATTGAGAATTTTAGTTCTTAAACAAAATCATCATCGAGGAACACAAAGTTACAGAATTAGCAACAAAATTAAACCATCGCCAACCTGAGGTTCACTTTAATATTTAGAGTGTTGCTGGTACATCGCAACCTTGCCCCTTTCCAAAAACAAATAAGGATAGAATTTTCTGTTCAATTGGGTGTTGCTAAGTGTTCTAAATCTGTCTCTACATAGACAACCTATGGAGGCAAGTGATTAACTCTTTTGCAATATGGAAAGCCTAAGCAAATTTATATGAGGTAATAAAACAAGGAAGTGACCATTCACAAAATTTGGACCTTGACTCTTACATTTACCAGTGTGGCATAGAATAATACATCTAGCCAAGGTTTCCTTTTGATGAGATCACTACAAAGCCATTGCTTCTATCCTAAACATACACTAGCTGCCTCTGCAAGCTGGATATACACGAGTCTCCTTACCTTCTCAAATAACCTCATCGCATGAAAAACACTTCAAAACTGAATAGAATACCACATTCGCCAATCACCAAATGATTCCTTAAGTTTCAGATGCATTTCGAAACCATGGCAATCATCGATTATTTAAACAAAGAGAAGCACAATAACACAGTAACTATTACATTAACCATCCAGAACCTTGCATGCGAAATGATTTTCATCCATCATACCCTTAAACTTTTCCAATTTTATGAGCAAAATCAAGAGTCTCTGATCAAATATTTCATACAACTAGCAACCCTCCCCAAATGTCAGGCCTACAATATGCACATTTTAGGAAAAGTCACTGGAAATCATCAAAATTACATAAATATAACAATAACCCATGAAACAAAATATCAAAATACATGAAATAATCAATTGAAAGCAATAAAATAACCCAAAAATTAAAATTAAAAAATAAAATTATAACCTTAGAATATGAACCAACACCATAGATCTTCCCTAATTCAAAATCTTCGACGGTGAAATTCTCCTGAGGAGCCCTAAATTGAAAGCTTTTACCTCTTTGAACACCGCCAAGACCACCTCCGCCACCGCCTCGGCCGCCATTATCGGATGATTCATCTTGAATCCTCAACTTCGAATCAAATTCCTGCTCCATTATCGCACCTTCTCCTCCGACTACTGCCAACATCTCTCTTTTTTCTCTCTCCTCCTTCAAATACCTCACATTCTCACCATTCCATAAAAACTTGAAGGAAAAAATAAAGGAAAGAAAAGAAAAACAAAAGCGAAAAAAACGGAAGATACCACTGAATCTTGTGTCATCTGAAAACTTTATTAACAGCTTTATTTATTTATATTTATCTTCCTTTTTTTTCGCCCTTGTTTTTTCTTGTTTTTTACAAGATACTTTCTTTCATTTCGAAAATATATAATTTTTTTTTAAGAAGTCTCTCGCATCTACAATTGATTATTCACCATCAAATAAGAATTAATTGGAAAAAGACTAAGAATCCAATTACATAGATATAATAATTCGGCACATTCTCGATTTGTTGTGTGTTATACAACTTTTTGAGTGGATCCGTCGTCGCTTCGTAATTTTTTGAGGAAGAAAAATTCTTGTGATAATTTTATATCCTAAATCTGAGTAATCAATATCAACCGTAGCCCCGCCTCAGCTTGTCTTTCGAAGGAGTTCGAAAAACCTTATCTTTCAAAGAAGAAAAACCTTTTCTTTAAAGGGAAAAAATTCCTCTCAAGCGGAGGAACCATTATTATAAGCTAAAAACAAATAAAAAAAAGCAAAAAAAAAAACTAAGATTGGGGCTCCGGCGGCAATATCCGATCGAAGCCCCTCAAAAATTAACAATGGATGCTATGGTTTAGGAGAAAGGAGAGAGGTTAGGGTTTTTTGAAAATATATATTTTTACTTAATACTCCCTCCGTCCCATAATACTTGACACAGTTATCATTGAAAGGAATGGTGTCCTTCCAACAAGTGTATTATTCTGATAGAGGGTTCAGAATTATTACAGAGCTAATTGTTCAGTAAGATCAAGTGATCGGAATGCCTAGGTGGAGGCCGCTTCCGATCAGTAATATTAAGGTACAATTAATATTACAGCTTAATCTTAACTGAACCCTTCGGGTCGAACCCAATCGAACAACCGATCCGAGACAATGAATCAATCCGAAGGATTCGATGAGTCGTCGGAGTTTTACGAACACAGACGTCGGATATCGAGCCTATGGTGTCGAAACCGAGCGTCGCAAAATCACAAGCAACAAGTTCGAGCGTAGCCATAGCATCACTATGGCCTAACCATGTGGACGCTAGGCTAGCTCGAGCTAGCATGCACAATGCATGGCTAGGCACACCTTGCGTGTAGACACACATAGCAGCACCATCGCAGTGCTAGGCACTAGCGTGTGTGCGTGCGTGTGTAGCACAACACCGTACCATCGCAGTGCTAGGCACTAGCGTGTGTGCATGCGTGTGTGCCTTCGCACAGCACAGCACCATCGCAATGCTAGGCACTGGCGTATGTGCGTGCGTGTGTGCCTTCGCACAGCTCATCGCACCATCGTAGCACATAGCACAGCACTAGGCAGTGTAGCCATGTTCGTGTGCATCACTAGCACAGCACCAAGCAATAGCATGCTTGTGCGTGTGGCTGGCGAGGCAATGCCCAGCATGCGTGGTTCGCTAGCAGCACACATGCTGGCTATGCGATGTGTGTGCGAGAGGTTAGGCAGCAGCACTACGCACTAGCCAGGAAGGTTGTGCGTGTGTGTGTCCGTTGGCTAGGCAGCAGCACTACGCTAGCAGCGCCCAGCGACCCAGCAGCACGTAGCACGCACATGCTGGACGTGCTGGGGCCATTGCGTGCTGGAAGCTTGAGCTGGCTGGTGTGTTGGGGTGCTAGCTGGCTGCCAACCCACCTGCCTTTGTGAGTGGCGGTATAGGAGAGGTGGGGACCAAGGCCTCAAGGCTTCCCTTGGGGAGCTAGGCAATGGTCTCCCCATGGGATATGGTCCTCACCTAACCCATTCTCCCCTCTTGCCACTTGTTGCTATGTGATTGCATTTGCTTAATAATTTATTTTAGAATTAAATAAATTAATGCATTTGCACATGATCCCACATTGATCATGAAATGGGATTCAAGTCCCCATTCTCTATAAATACCCCTTGGTTGGGATTTTGAAAATACACAACTTGAGTAGATCTCAAAGGTATCTCCATTGTTGAGAAAGCCTTAAGTTCGTAAAACTCCCTTTTTATTTGATTGGGTCCCGACTAACCTTCGGGACTTGGATCTCTCGGGTCGGGGTTCGTGGGTACGAGCCGTCGGAGACCTTGCGATTGCGAGGTTCAAGTAAGAGCTCTTTTGGTGAGCGAAGCACGCGTCTAGGGTATAATTCTTTCTCCCCTTTTCTCTTAATTATGTATTAATTATGTTTTGCATGCTTTAATTGCTTTAGTTATCGGGGCGGGTCTTGGTGGGTTTCCTTCCGCGTAGAGTGGGTCTCTACGAAACCCTACAGCTATCGGAGCCGCGCTCCTTTTAATTATTGTAATTATTTATTAATTAAGGTATTTTAAAGTGGATTTAAATTCTGGTTTTGCTTTTCTAATTAGATTAGAAGTACGTTTTTAAAATAGTTTTAATCTCATATTTTTCGGTTTTGGTCTGGGAACTCGGATTTTGGCTCAAAAATAGTGCTTTTTGGGTGGAATCGACATTCTAAATCAGTTTCAACCCTCTTTGAGAACTGTCCAGAAGCCAAATTCGAACCAGAAACCCATTTTTTTGAGGGTTTTTTCGTTTTCAACGAAAATTTTAAATCTTTTATGCCTTGATTAATGCAAGCAAGGGTAGATTAAATGCATTTTTGCATCCCTAATCTACTGCAATTTAAATATCTTTTAAGCATGATTATGGAGTTATAATGTGTGCTTAAGTTGATATGTTCTTTTTCACATAAACTTGTTTTTTCACAATTATGCAAATAAATTGCATTAATAAGTGAATGTTTATTGTGAATGTGTAATGTTAAAGTTCCTAGCATGTTAAAGATCCAATCTTTAAATATTTAAATGGTTGGAATCTTGACTCTAAATTCCATGTTGAACTAATTTTGGATTTTTTTTTTCATATTTGGTTGATTAAAATCCTTAAAGTTCAAATGCTTGTGATTATTTTTCATTAATCTTCATATTGGAAGATGTAATCTTGTTATTTTACACAAGTATAAAAGTTGGAAATTTTTTTCATTGGATGACTAGTTTATTTTTCCAACTCCCTATTTGTCAAAATCCATTATTAATTTGCATATTAGTTAAATTAATTATGGACATAGCTTTTTCAATTTTAAGTATCAAGAAATACCTAAAATATTCCAAGGTAATTTTGGAAATTTAGGCTTGTGCACCATTAAAATTGAATTTAATTAAGTTGGACTTATTTTATTTTCATTTTACCCTAAATTAATTCTAAAATAAATTTAGATTAATTTTACGTGACACGTAAATGGGGATTAAAATCCCGAGGAAAATGCACGCAAATCGAGGCAAAAACCCCAAGCGTCACCAAGGCTAGCAGGGTATGGTGCGCACAGAGCTGTGCCTTGATGTTGCGCTGCTGTGTGGTGAGGGATGCAAGGAGGGTGATGCGTGGGTAGTAGGCCAAGGCTGCTGAAGCGCTTGGGCACGCTGCTGGGCAGCATGGCAGCAAGCCCCAGCCAGCCCGCCACTTGCTGGCAGGCGCCAGCATGCGCAGCATGCAAGGCAGGCTGCTGGTGCTAGCAGCATAGCATGCTACGCTAGGCGTTGCATGCTAGCACCACGCACCAAGCACACCCCATGGGCTGCCTAGAAGCCATGTTGCGCAACCCACAAGGATACAAGTGGGTTGTTTTTGCTTAATTTCGGGCTATGTGTTTTTGCGAAAATTTTGTCGCTTTAAAATATTTATGTAATTATTTTAACGAGGTTGGACCTTGATTTTTCCGGCTCTTGCAAAAATTTTTGATTTAGACAAACTTGGGTTAACCGGCTTAATTAATTAGATTGATTAAGTTGGATGCGGAATTTAGTGGGAGCTTAGCTAATTCCGTGTACAAATTGCACCTTAGCAATACATAATTTATTAAACAATTTTGACTAGTATTAATTAGGCGCGTTAATTGGATTAACCACCTAAGTTAGTTACTAGTTTTGCGTGTTTACTTATTTTATCTCGTAAAATGCATGGGCCATTCACAAATAGTGAATGGGTGAATGAAAGATTGTTTCAAAACAGGTTTTGAGAAAATGGCAACTAGTGGGACCCGACTAGGATAAAAAATATGGACTGCGTTCCCTTACATATTTTTGTAAATCTAAATACGGTTTGCGTACCGTTAAGTATTTTTGTACTTTAGATTAATCTTAGTCTTAGTAGCTAGTTAATTTTATTTTGGCAAAGATGTCTCAAGACGGAATTTCGATGAAGACAAGCCAAGATGAAGACCCTTGAAGATTTGAAGATTTCAAGGGGTCATGCTAGTTGCCAAATGCATCAAATTTATGCCTTATATATATATTGTTGTTATATTCATATATATATATATATATATATATTGTGAATGATAGATGCATGTTTAGGATTTCTATATGTTGTGATGATTAGTTAAGTTCACTTAAATTAACCAACTTAGAAACCCTAGGTCCCTTAAAATATTGAGCTAAAATTTGTCATTCCAAGAACAACACTTACTGAACTAATGCCCGTACGTTATGGGCTACGCCAAAGCGAGGCATCACTACTTCCCTAGGAACGTAAGGTATACGAGTTGATCTTGGTTAAGCTCAACGATATCAGTAAGGAGTCCTTAGATGTCGTGGAAAAAGAGATAAAATGTCAAGAAAGCATTAGATGCGACGTTTTATCAAACCGAGAGTAGCTTAGAGCTATTAGAAATTGGATTGCTTACCCTAAAATACCTAGTGTTAAGACAAGCCAAAGCATGCTTAATCACTTTTTTTATTTTTGGGATCTCGGAATCATTTTATTCTCGCTTAAAAGGGACAAATTATTAATGCGTGGATAAAATGCTCAACAAGATTGAAAATTTGCATGAACGCTTTTAAAATTCAAACTTATTGATTATATGAATGGATTTTCATTTCAAATTCTTTCAATTGTAGAACAATGTTGTAACACCCCCAAATCTCCTTCTACGGAATATGTAGAAAATACATATAAATACCATAGAGATAGACTTGGGCGTATAACCGCCGCGTGATAACGCAAGGCACATACTTTGAAAATACTTTTGTAGCGGAAATTCTTTATTCTTATTAATAAAACTTTAAATAAACTTGTTCATAAATTGTGACACAAAAACGACTACAACTTTTCC